CGCCGACGGGTTTTGGCTAAAATATTGATAATCTTGGATCGACCGGAAACTTGGCCCATAGAGGTTTTCGGACTCGCTGATTACGAAAATAGTGCTCTTTGTGCAGCATAAGTTCTTTTAGCAGGGTCATGCTGAGAGGAATGCTGCGATATTACGCAATTTCCTAAATTTGTCTGCCCTTTGCGCGTGTCTGTTGGACAACGTGCTTGCTCTTTTTTGTAATTTAAAATCAATGAGGACAGTGCTCTCAAAGCATGCTTAAGCCCTTACCTATATTGATCGCCGAACTGTGAGCATACGAACTCACATCCTCATAAAAATCGTTCAAAATTTCAAGATCGCATATTTTGGCCAAATATCACCGCGATTGATTATAGATCATTCTGATTGCAGATATTATGTTCATGTACATATGTAGATTGATAATTCCAATACAGCATACTTGCTTCTCCCCCCCCCCCCCATGTCGCCTCTTACACCTGGAGCAAACTAACATTGTATCCGTAATCATCACCCTCACTCAACTACTTATACCAATTCCCAGCTGGTACCTCAAAGTTTGCAAAAAAAATCAAAAAATCGCTATCTACTAGTTGAGCTACTAGTTATCACCGCGATTGATTATAGATCATTCTGATTGCAGATATTATGTTCATGTACATATGTAGATTGATAATTCCAATACAGCATACTTGCTTCTCCCCCCTCCCCCCCCCCATGTCGCCTCTTACACCTGGAGCTCAATGTTTGAAAAATCGATAGAGTCGGTAAAGGTAGTTGTTTTTAAAAACTAACATTGTATCCGTAATCATCACCCTCACTCAACTACTTATACCAATTCCCAGCTGGTACCTCAAAGTTTGCAAAAAAAATCAATAAATCGCTATCTACTAGTTGAGCTACTAGTTATCACCGCGATTGATTATGTTCATGTACATTTGTAGATTGATAATCTCAATACAGCATACTTGCTTACCCCCCATGTCGACTCTTACACATAGAGCTCAAAGTTTGCAAAAAAAAATCGATAAATTGCTATCGACCCATGACGAAATGTAGTCTACGAGACCAGCCCCTAAGTTGTGTGCAAGGTTTGTTCTCCATTGGTTCAGAGATGAAATGTTGGGAACAAAAAGATGTTGGGAACATAAACACACAGACACATGACAAATAGACATTCACTTAAATTTAGTATGTTAGAGACAAATGGCAACAATAACAAGTAGAATTCTAAAGTCTGTCAATCTCACCATAAAAATCGTAGGAGTCTCCTTGCAACCATTCATCCCTAGGTGGAGATGAAAGCTTGGGCTATTCACTATTTGCAGTTCTAGGGCTGGAATGCTATTTTACTTTTGTTCATCTTATCTACCAAGTTTTTTACTTTCATCAACGTTAAGAAGAGTTCAGAGTCGTCTTCACAAAACAGTCTGTCCCAACAGGGGTCAGTCCGAACCGTTGGCGTAAGTTTGTGCGCTCGCAGCGGTATGGTTTGGGTTCCTTCATACTACGCCGCAGGACGCAGCAGCCTGCCGCAGCACGCCACTTTCTGCGGCGTGCACCGCTGCAGGTGCAGTAGAAATATACGCTCACAACAGCACAAATTTGCCGGTTCTGGATGTATATCCATATTTGCTGCACGTTCGTGTTCTCCGAGAGTGTTCCTTCACAGCGAGTGGGCTTATTTTCACTGCGACTGCAGCGCCGCACGCCGCAGGCTGCTGCGTCCTGCGGCGTAGTATGAAGGAACCCTTTTGCGTTTCATATGCGACTGTCGAAGAGAGAAGAGTTTGAAGAGATTAGACAAGCTAGTGTAGAGTGGCGCAAAACCCACGACATGGGCTTTCACCATGCCAATTTTGGCTTAACTAGTAGATAGCGATTTATTGATTTTTTTGCAAACTTTGAGGTACCAGCTGGGAAATGGTATACGTAGTTGAGTGAGGGTGATGATTACGGATATAATGTTAGTTTTTAGAAACAACTACCTTTACCGACTCTATCGATTTTTCAAACATTGAGCTCCGGGTGTAAGAGGCGACATGGGGGGGGGGGGTAAGCAAGTATGCTGTATTGGGATTATCAATCTACATATGTACATGAACATAATATCTGCAATCAGAATGATCTATAATCAGTCGCGGTGATATTTGGCCAAAATATGCGATCTTGAAATTTTGAACGATTTTTATGAGGATGTGAGTTCGTATGCTCACAGTTCGGCGATCAATATAGGTAAGGGCCTAGTTTAAGCATGCTTTGAGAGCACTGTCCTCATTGATTTCAAATTACAAAAAGGAGCAAGCACGTTGTCCAACAGACACGCGCAAAGGGCAGACAAATTTAGGAAATTGCGTAATATCGCAGCATTCCTCTCAGCATGACCCTGCTAAAAGAACTTATGCTGCACAAAGAGCACTATTTTCGTAATCAGCGAGTCCGAAAACTTCTATGGGCCAAGTTCCCGGTCGATCCAAGATTATCAATATTTTAGCCAAAACCCGTCGGCGAGCTACACAGCCTAGAACGAGAAAAAATGAAAGGGTCCGAATTTCTTGGAAAACTTGCGCATAGAGGTTATCTAGCCTGCTGATCACGAAAAATACACCAGCTTTGCAAATTAGCGTCTTACTGTATGGTTACGGTAGCCAAAATTTGAGAGACATCGATTTTTTCAAAATTCACCGGCCTATCTTTCCCTATGGAACGGAGATCCTTCGCTAATCGCTAGTACATGGTAATCTACGGAGACAGCACTACTGAACCATGTTTACATGAATCGTTCATGTGTGTTCTCCGCTGAGTTACATCACTACGAATATCCGTCCTCATCAAAAATCGAGCAGATTGAAAACGGAATAATAAGAGAGTGCAGTATGTCAGAAGATTCATCTTGATGAGCTGAGCATCATACTTTCTTCGGATTCGTATTTTATGCACTCTGAAGGAAGTTATGAAGAAAAAACGAAAAAAACGCGAATCGTCAGTTTTTGCGTTTTCTGTCGAATAATTAGTGTGGGTACTGTATTGTGGGCTACTCCTTAAAGCTTTCCTCAAACTCGACAAAATCAGCAGCTGATGTGTCAGGGAATTCTAGAAATCCTAGTGACCGGTTTTTTCTATGCTAAATCTTATCACAGGTGGATATGCCGAAGCACTTGCTACAAATTGCATCAAAGCTATCTCTGTTTGAGAACCACATCTTACTGCATCCTTTTTACTATGTATTGGAAAGATTATTGTACCAACCAATGCAGCCGTGTCAGCTAAGGTAAGGGTTATGATATCAAGATAAATTTTCACTACATGTACCCCTCCTCCCGTGATGAAATGCTTCTGCGATCTAGGCAATTCTTGCGTCTTGACCTACCGTTATGCTGTCGTGACCTTGACGAGGCAGAGAATGAAGAACAGATAAGACAAGGTGGTCTCATCGGTTACAAAGGTAAAATTAATTTTGATGGCCTGTTTTCGACGAATGTTTGTGCAATCTTCCCATTTTAAGTTCGTTGGGAAGCTCTTTTCCCGATATGCCAACAAATCAGCTGAGCTCAAATATGCTGATTTTCGGGGTGAAGGCATTGGTATCAATGATGACTCTACGAGACCAGCGTCTTTCACATGCTCCATCATTCGTTGAAACTGACTTGGCTGTGGAAGGATTTGGATGCAGGTTTATTCCATCTCTGGCACCACTTTTCTCTGCAACTTGGAGTGAACGAGTGTTTCCGCCACTGTCTACGTGAGTACCAGTAATCCAGTCTTCGCCTTTTATGGTTATTATCAAAGTTGTTGTTGTAAGTGGCTCTATATTGACACTGGACAAAAAACTTGATGCCCATCCACTGAGACTATTAATCATAACAAGAACTGTGACATGGTAAGATGAGCGGCGAAAACAGGTAATGCTTGAGATTATTGATGTAGCATCTCGTTTTGCTCTAATAAAGATTATTTACTTTGAAATTTGTAGTTGGAGTTTGTTCTCGATCGTCTGCTTCTTTTCTGTTCTTTCTTATTCACTGCGTGATTATTGAAAATCTGTCAATTATTAGACTATTCTTATAGGGACCATGCCATCTGGCCCGCTTGACTATCCAAGTAAGCCCCTCGATAGAAACAGATGAGCATAAAAATTCTGCAGGTGATTTGGAAAAAAGAGACAAAGATACCTTTTAAAAAGGTGAGAATTTACATTGTTGTGCTTTGATTTGATTTCGGTTTGATTTTTTTTCAATCTTAATTCTTTGGTTTGGATTTTTTGTAGGCGCTTCCATTATGAAACATGTTTAGTCTATCCAAGTAGCCATGGCTGACATACTTCGGAATGGGTCCATCTGTGCGTGATCTTGTCTCGTTCTGTCTTACTCGTGTAGTGAAGCTGATGCAACATGAGTACGCTGAGATCATGCGCATTCATATGGACTCTAAGCTTGTTAGCGAAGACTAGCAAGTCGTCATTCTAGACGGTAAGTGGTACGCGCTATATGGTAAGCTCTCGATGCATGCTTGTTACCCGTTGACTTCATTACCGTGCGGAAATCATACCAACTTTCACGTCATTTTTTTGTATCTTGCAGTCAAACCACTCTGTCTCATTTCCATGTCTCATTTGATTTATACATTTAGATGCAATGAAGATCTCGAGGAGTTAGAAGCCTTGGATGTAGGCTCGTATGGTTGAAGACGTATGGCTACGAGTAGACACTTGTAATGTTGATGCTGTGGCACGAGCTCCTCAAGGTTTGCATACCTTTCGAGCTTCTTTTGCTAATGTGTATGCATTTACAATCATACGTCCTTCCGATCACTCTGCACAACCGCCAATGCATTTTTTGATCCCGCCATCTTTGCTTATTCCCTTTTTCTCTCTTTGAATTGAATTATATTAGGTTGGACGGTCACTTCTAGTCGAATAGCTGGCTGAGCACAGGCCTATCAGTAGTGGAACGGTACGAAAACCTCATTGCTTATCTAGTCAAGTCATCTGGCTGTAAATTATGTTTGAGAACAGCACAGCTCTTTCGCCAGAACTTGCGTCTGTGGTGGATGTAAGCGCAGCCGATTTGCAGAAAGCGGGTTTTGCTCAGGATGAAATGGTGCTAGCTGTGCGAGATGGTGACGATATTGTAAGCTTTCTTGGAAACAGTGGAGGTACTTTTCGATGTATTTTTGTACTTTTTTTAGATCGCCACCCATTTGCGGCAGCAATGCAACCTCTCGCTTTTGTAATCTTGTATTCAGAATAATTCTTGCATTTTTGATTTCTCTAATGCGGAGCCTATTGTGCTTTTTGCACAGCACGCACAGCAGCACTTCAACTCAAAGTATATTTGCAGGCAAAGAGGCTTTACCTCGACAAAAACTGTGCGCTACTCACTAAAGTGAACTCCCTTTTCGACAAGATCCACATCACTGATGTACTACACATCACAGGACAAAGGACAACCAAAATCCTAATATAGTAGAGTCTCTTCTTTCATCACAGGTCTGATGGCTTGTGATAAAAGAGGGGACTCTTCTATAATAGTCGGCATCATTGTAATTATGATAAGTCATTGTTACATTCATTGCATCAAAAACTTTTGTTGACGTGTGGTGAAGTTTTCTCATTTTCTCATTATGACTATTGTTGTTTAACATTCATTGTTTGCAAAACATTTGTAAATGTGTAGTGAAGTTTTCTGGTTTTATTAGAAACTAATGAAATGATACGTTAGAGCTAATACATTGTCTTCCTGCTACCTAAATACATGTGTATTTTCCAATCAGCACAACTAAGGAACATTTTATAGTGGTTAGTGACAACGATAATATTTACAAAACACCTTCTCTGCAACAGACAGGGCTTCTTTTCAATGACTCCAAAACCCAGAGCAAAATTCCCCATGGTGTATCAACCCTTGCACGGAGCTGGCACGAAGCTGGCACGTCTCCTTCGGTCTTACAGGGAGAGGATACTTGGTCGTCTCAAAGCACTCAAAACGCTGATTCCAAATGTGTAGTTTTTAGCAGCGGAGCGGTTTTGTAGAAGAAGTTATGAGGTGCTTTTCTCTGAGGCTGAAGCGACCTCCAGCAGGTCTCCCCTTATCAATAGCTATCTATGGCTTTGGGAGCACTGTAGAGGAGTACAGCTGGTGTCAACTGGCCTATTGGAAGGTGATTTGAATGAGGATTACGATAAGGATCATAATTCTCGTATTACTTTGGTTTTTTCACACTTCTGATTTTAATTAGCATTGATATCATCAGGAACTTCAGGCTTTAGGGCTCCTAAAGCCATTTAGTTTTGCAAAAATTGCGATAGAGTTGCATGCGAAGGGATTAAAACCTTGATACTCTCCTTATCAAGCAAGTCACTTACCACTAGGCCAGTTGCCACCAGTTGTACTCCTCTACAGTGCTCATGGATAAGGGAGACCTGCTGAAGGGCGCGCCTCATCCCTAAAGGGAAACACCCCTCATAACTCCTTTTAAGAAACCGCTCCGTTGCTATAATCTACAGATTTGAAGTCAGCATTTCAAGCGCTTTAAGATGGTATATGTCCATCTGTCCATTTGGTGCTTTCGACTAAGTATCCTTTCCTTGTCAGAACCGTTTTTACATGTCGGCGGGAGCGGCTGACCCGCAGCTCTTTTGACATAGGCCGCTGCTCGGCCAGAGTTTCACAAATTTTGGTCAACGGCTCAGCCGCTGCAATGCTCTGCCCCATCATTAAGGGTGACGGTTGAGCCGGTAAGCCGATGTTGATGTTTTTCTGTGGTGATGAACTATTTCATGCTTATGACTTTGAGTTTTTTTTCCAACTGTAAAGTTTCTTGCGTTTTTTTGAAGTGTTATCATCGCTTGCTCAGCGCCTATTAAATTATCGATATTGTAGAGCATGGGTCTAAAGATTGCTAGGGGCAAATCTATCAGTACGCCTTTCTTGGAGTTCAAGCGCAAACTTTTCCTGTGCTGGTCTTAATGTCCTGAATTTCATGCGATGTCTGCTGAAAATCTGCTGAAATCTGTCATGGCCTTTAATAAGGACTTTACTGTGGAGAAAATACTTCTCTTTCTCTTCTTCTTCTAATAGAGTATCAGGGTCGGTAGTAATCTTCCCTATCTGGCGGCATCTTAGAAAGGAAGGTATATAACTCGCAGTGGAGTTTCCCTATGAGATCTATGTCATTCGAAAGTTCTTTAATTGCTGATTTGAAAACAACCTTCCTCATCTGCTTATCGGTTTACTAAACGAAGTTACAGGCAATTTTCCGCCTCCACTTTGCATGATCAAATACTGTGTAAGGGGTGGGGGAACGAAAGCCGCCAGGTCCAGCCGCCTCCGCGGACTGCTGGTCCTGGAACGACATGCAACAACGCTGCGAAAGGACCAGCTGGCCGCGAAAGGCGGCTGGACCTGGCGGCTTTCGTTCCCCCACCCCTGTGTAAGTAATTTAAATTCCTAATAAATGCGAATTTGGTCCAAAGTTAGACACCCAAATGTTTGAGATATATTTAGTACTAAAAAAATTGATGAGAATAGCTTTGGAGCTATTCTGCCGCCTTAGTCCTGCAAAAAGCAACCAAAATCAGTATCATTTGGAGCCAAACAAATGCCTGTAACTTTGAACCGATAAGCAGATAAGGAAGTTTGTTTTGAAATCAGCACACAAAGACCTCTCGAATGATATGCATCTTATAGGGAAACAAAAACCGATTGTCACCGGAAACAAGAACGACACACACATTGACATATTGTGGTCAGATCCGCACGTCGACGTATTGATGTTTGGGGTAAGTTCTTGAGCAAAGTTCGATACTTGATTATCGTTCACTTTTTTTAGCCAAATTTCTACCGCGATCCTGCTGGTGTTGGAGTGGGTCATGTATTTGGACCGATTCAAATCAATAAATTTGTGAAAAGAAACAATGTAGGCTAATTTATCTGCTGTATAACCTCAATAATCTCATTTAAGCTGTCTCTCATCGTTCGCGCCCATCAACCGCCAATAACAGGCTACGAAAGGATAGGAAAGCATCTGTTAACGATTTTCTCTACTGCAGGCTATCGGGTGGAGAAAGGCGTTGGAAATATGGGTAAGGATGCTCAAGGAAAAGCATCCTAATTTTGCTATTTTTCAAAAAGAAAACACTCATTTATTGCCTCCACTGCACATGAGATATGTACAACGCCATGCGAGCAGTACGAAGTGTTAACTGATAGAATAACTGAGTTGGCTTAATCGCTGCCATTGTGATTTCCGACGCTTACCTTTTTTAGAACTTATTCACTTTTTCGAAAACAAAGCATAAAATTTGCTAAATGTAATTCTCAGTATTCGATAATCGCAACTTCTATGATTGTCAAATCCATCTACACTTCTCTGTGCTGGGTTTCTTTCCTACTCATCCATAGATTACTGGCATTCAAAACCGATATTTACTAACATTTACTTGCAGGAGCGTCGCTTGTCATAGATGAAAATGGTGGAATGACTGTCGTACGATTTCAAGTGGGCGAACAGCTGAAAATGAAATGTCAACGTTATAAAATGGATAAGGCTGGTGCTTGACATTGAAGATAGAATTGATACTCACTTCTACCATTATTAGGGAGACAGATATCGTGATTGCGGCAAACCGAAGTTAAAGAAGAATGTAGATGTTGATGACAGATATGATTGAATAAATTTTCGTTTTATCTTAAAAGCTCAAATGTGATTAAAGCCCACGAGCATGCAATACTTACGAGCCCATGAGCCATGTAATACTAACGCTAATAAGGTTAGGGTAAGAACTCGAGCTAGGGACTGATTGTTGATTAGATGTAGGCCAAGCGCATGTTCGTTGTGCTTTTTCCCTTTATTCATTTGTACTGCTCATACGAAAGCCGTCTCCCTTGTTTTCCTTTATAGATCAGATGGTAACAAGAAGATACATCAATTTGATTTTAATTCTATAAATTATTGGCACTCCGCCACATGCAAACTGTTCTGCATTCAAATTCGGAAGTTGCTTATTCACTGATTAGTTAATTCCTATTTTCCCAGAATAAGTCAACCAGGTCATAATTCACAGAGTTGGAAAGTCTTGGTCGCTAACTTTTTCAAAGATGAGTACGCACTAGTGTTCAAAAAACCAAATCCAAACGCTGATGACTCAAGGTGATGAACACATATGAAAGTTATATTTTCTACGCTTTTAGTGAGCTTTTGACGTCCTCACAAAAGAATGCTTGAGACATTGTCCACATAAATACATGAAGGATCCGACATTTTAAAAACAGCAATAGTTCGTTCATGCTATATGGATCATTGGCTCCGGGTCAGGAGTCATACCGCCAGCGGCCTCTCGCCGCGCTTAAATTTTGTGCCTTACAAAAACTCTCCGGTGCTAAAGTGGCACGGCGTCACAGTAGGGGGTGGGGTGGCGGCAGATAGTCGATACATAAGTCGATGCCATAAGTAACATTGCGGCAGGAGTGCTGACGGTAGCTGAGGCCTGAAAATCGTGACTCCTCACACGTACCCTGGATCATTTAATGCATTTTACTAATAACGCCTCAGTGATTTTATTGCAACTTCGGAATATACCGTTTTGATAAAACTTTCTGAGAAACAATTTCAAGTATTCTGTGTTTGGCCTATGCGCGCGATGGATACACCTTACACTAGTATCAAAGAACTATCACTTGCTTTTGCCTTTTAAGCCGTTTCTCCAGCAAGTAAAATTCACTTTATTTTAGCCTACTAATTCAAATTTGAAAATTTTCGAAAATCTCCGAATCTTCGAATTTCTTGGAACCAGTGGCGTAGAGGGATGGGGGAGTGCAGGTGACTTGCTTATAGTTGTAATTGATTAGAATAATTTTTAAAATGTTTCAAAATTTATTTTGGCCCTATAATAAAATTATCCAGGGGGTTTTGGAAAGCATACCAAATATTTTTCGGAGCGCGTTCTAACGCTACGCACTTCCATCAGAGAAAAACTTTTGTCGCCTCCCCCCACTCCCCCCTCCCCCCTAACAAATTTCTGATACGCCACTGCCAGGAACATATGGTCAGTAAAAATACAGCTTTATTAGCAATCAGTGCATCACCTTGGGTTCGCAGAGGTTCGCTGATTCTTGGCTCAAGTTTTTTGCGATTTTGCTATAATTTTCGATAAATGAAGTTTTTTATTGAAATCTGTTTTCTGCACTTTATACTGAAGACATATCTTCAAAAAAGCACAATTATATAAAGATAACAAATTATCATATGTCCCTCACTACGATTACGAACATAATGTAGTTATATAAGAAGATTCTTCTCATCAAGCTGGAGCCAAATCTTCTTGTAGAATTTGAATATTTTTTTATAAGAAGTTATATCTAAATTCAGCAACCCCTGAAAATCGCGCGAATCACGCAAATCCCGCAGTCTTGGGCGCATTCCATTGCTACAACTCTATGTTATATAATAGTTTCATACAAAAGGAGTTTTCATTACTTTATGGCTATGTGTATGTGTCATCATTTTCTGCATATGTGTCCGTATCATCGTGCTCTAAGCAAACTGAAAAAACTGAAACTGAAAAACTTTGCGGCACAAGTATGTAGATTCTGGTGTTCCCTGCTACTTTGTCATGAGATAGAGAGCATGTGGACCTCAATTTGTATTAAGACCGATGTTGTTCGGGAGGCACAGTGGAGAACGTGGGCATAATTATTGGTCTATATGTCGTGTGCGTATCGTTTTTCCAGCACTCGCTTCCATTTGAAAAATAGCATACAAGTTCCCTTCGTCTCATCCATCGCAAGTGGTCCTAAAAAAGTGCATCCCATGCACTGGTAAGACAGTACCTAAACAATCATTTATTAACCGATTCGACAAAGCACATTGGCACGTATGGCTAATTTCAGTTCTTTTGTTCTTTTTACCAGAAGTGAATTATATTTATTGAGACTGATTAGGACTCGGCACGAAATTGCATTAGAAATTTTGGAAACGAGGTCTCCTTTGACTTTTCGTAACTTTTTGCGCATCCTCTTTTGACTCTATTCGCGCTGTTCAAGTAAAAAAGGAAAAGTAGCGAAATAGCGATATTTGTTGAAAAGCAATAGTGCCACTGCCAAAGAAGTTGCCTCTACCATCAGATTTGGAGGGTTTGAAAAAGCTAGCAAGATGTAGTAAGAAATTTTAGGAACCCTTTCAAAGGCTTTGACATGCAGATCAGCTTGTGAGCAAGGGCATGTGTCAGTTCAGCTAAGAACGGCTCTAGTTATTTCAAAAAAAGTTGTTACAGATTTAATTCGTGTAAACTATCATGAAGTTTTAGACTAGAACAAATGGAACGTCTATTAATCAGTTTGCAAAAACGGTGCTAGCCTTTAACCCATCTCGAGTCCCTGAATAGTAACGTTTAGATCACAGCACCGATCATCAAGGATACCACATTTCAAACATTTGTTCACAAAGGGTAGGGTACCCGCATCTTGTTAAAGATGAGAGGTCAGAACTTAACCCAGCCATTCCAAACAAGCTATATGTACAGGGTGTCCCAAAAAGATGTGCACACTGTTTAATCGTCAATAACTCTCTAGCTTTTAGGTCTTTCATCAAGCTTGAGGTACCATTCTATAGAGGGAGGTTCAACTTAGATTTAAAGTATGGAGCGAACTGCCAACTGCTCTCCATTACTGTAGGATTACGGTAGGAACTTCGAGGAGGATTTTGAGCCATTAAAAGCGCTATATTGCTTTAGAAAAGAGCCAAACAGGCTAGAAACTTTTTAATGGGTTAATCGAAGTCGCTAATTCTAAATATAAGAATTGCACTTCAGTACAGTGCTTCTTTCATTTGTTATTTCAGATTTAGGGTGACAACTGTTTTTCCAATGTTCGTCAAAAATGTGAATACTTCATCAAGAAAGCTTGAAAAACTGGTGGAAAGCTATGTAGTGAAATCAGCACGCCTGAAAACCTTGCTACACAAATTTTCAGAATTTTTAGAAGTTACAATCGAAAGGCCTATTTCACAATGACGCTTTCTTCTGAAAGTTCATACCGTAATCCTACAGTAATGAAGAGTGACTGGTGATTCGTTCCATACTACAAATCTAAGTTTAACCTCGCTCTACAGAATGACACCTAAAACTCGGCGAAAGACTTGAAAGCAAGGGAGTTATTAACGATCAAACAGTGTGCACTTCTTTTTGGGACACTCTGTATATCATCGAACTTTCGAACTTGGCTCTGCAACCAAATTTGGACTCTGCGCGATGATTTCTTTGCAATATAATGGCTCATAGTGGCTCAAAACTTCATTCACAAAACTGAGAAGCAGATAAGGAAGACAGATTCAAAGTCAACGTTTAATGCTGCATCTCTACTAGGCAGCTTGTCTGAATTAGCCACTACGACTTTTGATCATTCCCTTGAAAACTGCAAAAAAAACTGCAATAAACTGCCTACAATCAATAAATCGATCAAATCAAACCGAGTGTCACGAAGGAAATATCTTATTAACACACCATCTACCCTATACATCTTGCCTGCGAAATTTGGTTCCGATTCCAAGACTCCTTCTATAGTTTTTGGGCGAAAATACAATAAGTGACTAAGCCAGATATTGTATAGTACAGACAAAACTCAAGGTCTAAGCTGTGATGTTTACTTTGTCAGTTTACGTTATCAAAACAAAACCCCTTACCACTGGATCTATAAAATGCCAATCCTTGCGAGCCTCTTGACCAACAGCTACGAAATTGTAATTAGTACTGAAATGTTATAGAAAAGCGTAGTATTAATTTTACTGATTGGTAGACTTACAGAAGCATGCCAAAAGCGGGATTATGTTTTGTTTTTGTTATGTATTAGCCAAGACATACGTATACTGCTCGCAACGGCATGAATTTCCATCTCACATTTGTAGTACTGAAAGGAAAAGTTTAATATTTGGATACGTTATAGATACACGATATAGATAGGGGGTAAAAACTTTCCACAAGTGAAGGTGCAAGGCGTTAGCTAGTGCAACTTCGAAAATTTTTTAGGGATGCCTCTCAAAATTTTTGAATGCCCGTAACCATACCTTCGATAGTCTAGAGACAGGGCGTCAAAAGTGAAGGTTGTTTGAACATCTGACGCCATAAATAGTGAAGGTTGTTTAAAAAGATTAGAGAAGAGAATATGACTTAAAACAGATATAAAAAGCAAAAGAAACCGCTGAAAACCGGATAAAAACGCTGCAATGAGGTTTGAATTCTTTCTTTTGGCGGCTTTTCAAGGTGAAGTCTTCGCTCCAGGACCGGCAATTCGCAACACGGGGTTTTGATTTTTGATGCCTCCTTTGAATTTTTACCCGCGCATTGACGTTCCTGCTTCCTGGGACGTTGTCTGGATTGTTGCGCTTATTGTTCTGAGCAATAATCGCCCAAGCTAGAAAAAAATCGATGCGAAACTACTGAAACAGAACAAGGTAAAGAAAAACGCACTTTTTATAATTTTTCGCAAAAATTCCACCATAATCGAAGAGGTAAGGGCTGGATGGTTGTCTGCATTATGAACAGAAGCAAGATCTCATTATGAACAGAAGCAAGATCTATAGAATGCACGAAAAAACCGCGTGAAAATAGTTAAACTAGGAGAAAAACAAGAGATTTTCGAAAACAGGGTTTTTGCCGGATTTCTCGATCAAATCAAA